CAGAGATGTGGGGCTTCCAGTCCTACTGGACCATTCCCTAGCATTGCCTCTAATCAGAATACCTGTTGCTGGGCAAAATGAGTGGGAGAGTACTAGGATGTCCATGACCTACTTGTTTGGCTTTGGGTCCGCCATGGTTTAAATACTGAACTAGACCAGCCTTTGGTCTGATCCAGGAAGGTTCAAGTCCTTACACTACAGAATTCTAAATACGAGCAAAACAATGAAGCAAACCTATTTTGACTAAACAAAACATTATTTAAATCATTCTAATATACACAAAGACAAATCAAAGCAAAAAGAATACCAAACAAAAATAATGATTTTAATATATACTCTCTGTACCAGGCATTCCATATTCAGTATATCTATTTTACATCCATAATTCTTGTATGACAGGGGTAGGCAAAAATAGACTGGTTTCTACTGTAGATCTTTGGGAGAGTTGTAGTGATCAAGAAGGGTTCCTGACTCCCAAAGTGTCTAAAAGCAGCACTGGTTAAAAAGTTCCCAAGTTCCCCAAATTAGGTTCCTAAAAAAGAATGGCTTGGGAAATATCAGGAGGGGATTTTTGGAAAAGACGTGGGAGCTTGCTTTGAGCACTGATCATGAAAACCCTGTTTCTTGATTCATAGTGTCTTTCTGTTTGCCTGTACCTGGCTCTGAGTAGCATCTTCTGGATTCTAGCCAATAAATAAATAATAATTAAAAAAACCTTCCACCTCTGCTTGTCTTCTACTCTAGCCAAGTATTACTCAATAGTAAATGAATTAAATTGATTATGCTTCAAGATGTACTTAATTATCTGCTTTATATAAAGAACCCAACTTTAATTAAGAAATCATTTTCTCTACCTCTTATTTCAGTCAATTTCACCATCTGTGCAATCTGCCCAATTTTTGCTATTGACATTTATAAATGAGGGGACCTCTTCATCTCTCCATTTGGTAGCTATAAGTATTTTCACTGCAATCTGTAAATCCCATCCCAGCTCCTGGTGCCTGTGATGTACAAACTTTTTAAACAGAGCTCTACAGCATCATTCAAGTGTGTAGTGGAATTTGTTCTCTATTCATCTTTTCGCTGTTCATCTTTTTCCTCTCAAAATTATTTTTGGACACTGCCACCAAATAGGTTGAAAAGTGCTCCTGGTTATGCATGCTGCAAGCTCCAATCCATTCCTATTTAAACAAGATTTATGAAGCCGGATTAAGTCAGATTACACTGCCATGTTACTTTAGAGTAGGGGTTGGCAATCTTGCATGTTCCAGTTGCTTTGAACTACAGCTTCCAGAATCCCTAGCTATGCTATCTGGTGCTCATGGGAGTTGTAGTCCAAAACTTCTCTGGTCCAAAGCACCTGAAGGTTTCCTACTTCTGCTTTTAACACTGCAGCTGGGAAGAAATCAGACCTGTCTTGTTTTGATAATACATTTCATTGTTTGTTGAGAAATCTGCTAGATCTTTCCATTTGATTCTGAGTTTAGCATTTGTGGTCAGGTTTCATACCTACTATGCAGAGTTTTGGATGATAACTCTTTCCATCCTTCAGCTTCATTTAGCATCTGTTCCAGTTCAGTTCACCCTGTAATCACAATTGCTAAAGTCCTATGTCTAACTATATAACTCTGTAGCAGCCGGTATTGATGCCATGGTAGGAGACAATCTCCTGTGCAGAAAGAAGTTCTAGGTTCTTTTTGAATGTATCTCATACTGCCAGTGCTGTATTAATGCCAAACATTTTTCCATCCTTATTATCTCAATATATATAATAATTAATATAAACACACACACATTTATTACAAGACCACTGAATGAATTTCAGTGGTGTGTAAGCGTCTATGTTTATGTTAATGTACAGAATGTCCTTGCCCACTTTTTGTAAGGTCCTTCCCCACTTGTGCCATGGAACACCTAGAAACTTATTCAAAAGGGGAAATAGCAGAGAGAGAGAGACAGAGAGAGAGACAGAGAGAGAGAGAGAGAGAGAGAGAGAGAGAGATCCTTGTCCCTGGTTTAAATCACTGAACCACTTTGCAGGTAAGAAGCAGCCCATTGAGTTGGACTCAAAAATCTACTGGAAACCACTGTAATTAATGGAAGTCTGGTGTAATATAGCCTACAAAATGCACTCCAGGAAATGATCTGATGGCAGCATTTTGCCCTGGCTGCTATTTCCAAAAATTCTTCAAGAACAGTCTCGGTTAGAGTGCCTTGCAGTAACCTAAATGGACAGTGACTATAGCCTGATCAGTTGTCTTTAAGAAGTGGCACAACTGGTTACACTACTATAGTTAGGTGAAGTTTGCCCTGGCTATAGCAATCACCTGAGTACCCGATAGCCCTTGGGGCACTCTCAGGATTCAGACCTACTACTTCAGAAGGAGGGCAACCCTATCCAAAACAGACTGTAGTCCCAATCCTGGATTTTCATATCTACTGACCCTGAGACTGTATGCCACTTTGCTCGGAATGAGACTCAGTTTATTGGCTCATATCCAGTTTATCACTGTTTCCAGACAACAGTGCAGGATTTCTGCTGCTCCCTTGGCATCAACTGAAAAAATAGAAATACAACTGAGGATCAGCATTAGTACCAAGACCCTACTCCAAAACTTTGGATGACATCTCCCAGGGACATCATGTTGATGTTAAACAGCAACAACTAGAAGAGGAACCCTATAGGCCAGGCTTCCCCAACCTGGTGACCTTCAGAGGCATTTGGACCACAACTCCCAGAATTCCTATCCAGCAGGGCCATTGACTGGGAATTCTGGGTGTTGCAGTCTAAACATGTCAGGAAGGCACGAGGTTGAGGAAGGCTGCTGCAGGCCAATGAGTCAAGCAGCAATGCTCCAGCACTACTCACTAGAAACATTCAGTCAAATGGGGCTGATATGACTGCAAAATGGTGCCCCTAAGCCCCATGTTCTTAGGTAAGTGTCCCAGAAGAATACCATGATCATTGATATCAGATACCACTGAGTGGTCCAGTAATACCATTCAGGACACACTCCCCACTGTCCAGTTCTTCCCTGCTGTCCAATTCACTGTAAGTCACCCACCAAAGCTGTTCCTATCCTCAAATCAGGCCTGAAACCAAATAAGAAAGGATCAAATAATCCTCTCCATCCAAGGAAACTTAGAGTTGAGTGGCAAAGTGAAGTTGTGGTTGCAGAATGGCCAATAATTATCTAGGGTTGTGAGATCTAGTTAGATCACTTCCCACTTGGCTCTTGAAAAGGACCTCCAGAGGTCTGCAGTGTAATGGGGCCATTTTTGGGGTGACAACAAATTAACCTGCTGTTTTAAAACCAGTGAGAGAAGAGACTATCCATTTGCTGTATTATCGCCATGTGTGTGCTAAGGGAACTAAAAAAAACACTGTCCTCCAATAGTTCTGCTCTTGGCAGGGAGAATTCTTTTCCAAAGTCGAATTCAGCCAGACCCCATCTCAGACAAGGTCGCGGTGCTTGTGGCCTGACGATGCTCCAGGAAATCAATTTAAGATCTCTTCTTTCTGCCTTTAAATTGAACTGGGAGAGAAAATAATCAAACCTCTGATAACCATTTCTGACACATTGTATCCCTGACTTTCCAGAAGGCTTCAGAAAATAAACTGCCCTTCACTGATGCCATAGAGGACCAGTGACAGCTTGTTTACTGAAGCTGATCACGCAGCACATGTCATTGCTTCCCTGAAGCTAGGTGTCAACAAGGTCACGGAAATGAGACTTGCCTAGCTTTCGGGGCGGTGGGCAGGGAGGAGGCAAAAGTTCCTAAGTGCCTTTTATAAACAACAGTTTCATCAAGTTATGCATGGTTGGATTTGACTGTTAACTAAAATGACCACTTCTGGGGGAACAAAGAGGTGTTGATGGATGCTTTATTAATAGCAACATAACATAGTTCAATTATTTACTCATTTTGAATGTTCTGTTGAAGGTTGTTATGGGTTCACTAGTTAGAAATCACTTTAAAGGTTAGACATGGAGTAGGCCAGCACTCCATGAGGCCACAAATCAGGTGAGGTTTCTTGGGACCTAGTCCAGCTGTTTTGGCATCGATATTTTCGAATAAGACTGTCCTGTTCTGAGGAATCCTATAAGTTGTTTGGAGATGGAAAGATGGAGATCTTTGGTTCTGTGTCATGTTGTCTAGATAGCACCTCCAGGTAACACAGCAGAATCTGTGGATGCTTCGACAGATGTTCTGCCTCTGTGGTGCAGGAAATAAAACATTTGAGCTGGGAAGTTTGAACCTCTTTCAGTCTGAGGGCTGAATTCATTCTTGGAGAAGTTCTTGGGAACACCATTTCAGCTGTGGGCAGAACTTAAGGCCAAAGGGGATGGAACCCAAATACTCACATATTTTGAAGATGCCCTCAGGGACTACATTCCATTGGTGGCTGGGCCAATGGCCAAATTGTTAGAAGCCAGAATTCTAACAATACTGGTGCAGTTTGGCTTAAAGCTTTTACTGCCAGTAATGAAGACTTCAGAGAGGCATTCCAATGTCTTAGAATGAGGGAAAACATGGAGTCAGGAAAGTGCTAAATGATCAGTGGCTGGGGAAAGGGGGTACAGCTATTGGGAGAACCTTGTCAGGCTGGATTTGGTCCATTGGCCTGAAGGGTCCATTGGTCATGGGTTCCTCACTCCTGCACTAGAACCTGGCCATTAGAAGTTCTAGCTGAAGAGCCTGGCATCTAACAGCTTTTCTCCGTGCACAGTATAACTTGCTTCCACTCTAGATCCTGCACAACAACTAGCAATCATGCAACGGCTGTGTTTCTTAACAGTTCCATACTCGTGCATTGGACAATTTTTTCAGAGTTAAATGCTTTGGATCATTTCCCATGACCACAGTGTTCTATGTAAGAACTGATTGAATTAGGGTCATCGGATCTTTGTGTTACACTATGGGCCTTGTGTGCTAAGCCAACTCCTAAATGTTGACGGCTGTCCAGTAGCTGTGCTCTCCATTTCCATTTGTGCCAGGCTGAGACTTTACCCCCGGATGCTGAGGAATGTGTCTTCCTTGGATCTAGCGACTTCTATTTTGGGACAGAGAGTCAGCATGCCTATATGTGTTGGAGCAACTGCCATGCAAAAAATGGCTCATGAAGATGGAGAAACTGCTACTGTCAGAGGTGAGTCATGACAACAGAAAGCCTTCTAAGAAAACACAATGGTGGGTTATAATTCCATGAAACATGCAGAAATGTTTCCTTCCCGGCTAAAAAACACCTTATTTTCTGTAGAGTAATTTGCCTGGCTACCTTGGCCTCATCGTCAGTATGATACATCAAAGTGTAGAAATGGGTAGGGGAAAATTGCTCACTGAGGCTTAATTGCTATTAAATAATATGCTTTAGCTTTTTCCCCAGTGAACAGCTATGTAATATGCCAAGGAAGAATACATGGATTTAAATTTAGGTTTTACTGATTACGAAGTGTACATGCACTCTCACAATGTCTTTTCACTTAGAACACATGGCATGATTTAGCTAAACCAGCCATGTTTGATCAGAACTAAGGCATAACTCTTTCTAAGGCAGCAAAGCTGCTTCACTAGTAATAACAATCAAATTATTATCTGACAAAAGACTTCTTCAGTGTCATACATGGCAAGGAGGGGGTGGTGTTAATGCATTCTCTCTTTTTATTTTTTTATGGTGCCAGGATGAAAAATGCCTAAATAGGGTTCCTGTACATGGTGGGAAACAGTATCAGCAGGGAATTGTGTCCTGCTATATTTGATGGGTTCCACCAGAAGAATAATCAAGTTATTAAGTTTCAAAAGGTAGTGTCATTACTTTTTCCAGCATTCAAAAGCCAGGATAATTTTTTTGGAGCCATGCCAAGGCCTTTGGCTTGTTAGGAACAACAACAGATAATTGCCTTAGTGCTACCTTCCCCAAACAGTCTGTAGATAAGAGCTGCTTTTGGCTGTGAGAACTGAAGCTGTTTCCTTTACTGAAACACCTTCATCTCTCTTGTTTCCCAGGGGATAGCCTCTCTTCGTACTGATAGTCTCTGAAAGGGACGAATGTGATAAAATCCATGGCACGTAGCATTGTCAAATTAAAATATGATATAAACATTAAATAAAATAATGTAAAGCAAAATTGACTAAATCTAACATGGAGTCAATTTAAAAACCATACAGCCATTAAAATCCATTGTTAAAATAATTGGAGAAAAGGTGAGTCTTTGCCGGGCACTAAAATGCTAACAGCGTTGGCACCAGGTGTACATCTCTAAGGAGCCTCTTCCAGAGGTGGGGTGCAATTGCAGAAAAGGCCTTTCTTCTAGCCATCATCCCCCTCACCTCTCCAGGAGATGGATCCCTAAGGAGATTGACCTCCTGGCTCAGTGTTAAAGGATGGGTAGGCACATATGGGAGCAGACAATCCTTTAGGTATCCAGGACCCAAGCTGTTTAGGGCTTTGTATGTAAGTAGAAGCACTTTAAATTGGGCCTGGACTTCCACTGGTAGCCAGTGTAGTTGGTATAGAACTGGCTTGAAATGAGCTTGCAGACTAGTTGATTTCCAGCACAAAGAAAGGCTGCTTTACATGGCACAGAAGAGGGACACTGCTTGCAAAGCACGTGAGACTCAATTCCTGGTGAGCACCCCATGAAACCTGGTTACGTTTACCCATGGGCTGTGACAAAGTGGACTGCAATACGGTGAGCCGAACCCAGGGAATCTGATGGATTCCCATCTGCAAAACAGATTCCTCACACATCCCTAGATAAGATCTCCATCCCTGTCCATCACTGCTGGTCCTGGTGCTCCAGCCATAAACACCTGCCACATATGTCCTGGGTTGTGAGACTCATATTGGGATGACCCATGTGCTGCTTTGAAGAAGGATGGGAGACATCTTAAACAGTCATGCAACCAGGTCTCTAGAAGCCAGCAATACAGAGGATCCTTTCTTCTTGCTTGGTTCACACTAGTTTCTTGAGTGTTCATCCTGAAGTCTAGTTCTTTGCTGCCCCAAGACAGAATCAGCAGAACCATTGATTATAAGAATATTGCAGGATCTCCTTCAACGTGCAAATAGACAAGAGTCCGGGCATGGTGGAAATGGCAGTCTATAGAAGCCTGGGAAATTCACATACAGTTATTACTTCAGGTAAACAAAATAGTTTTATTCTGTATTAGAATAATTATTGTGTTCCTATACATTTGGATAGGAAGTTGTGAACACAAAAAGGATGCCAATTCCTTTTCGTAAGATATATGACTGTGTTTGTATTGGATTCTTTATAATGAAATACATAAAAAAAGGAATGGGGCCTTGTTTGTAAAACAGGTGCAGTGTGTGTGTGTGTGTGTACACATGGACACTTACATCATCCATGGCAGCTGCTACTTCTCCAAAGCACCAGTGCTCAAAACTCTCCCTGTATTTGCTGTCTAGCCCTGCTTACTCCCTGGGGCTTAGGATGGATGTTGCAAGTTAATGAACCAACTGCTGTAAGCATGGCAGAATACTTTAAATGGGGGTTAATTAAAGAAATTCTCTCTTCAGGACAGTCATGTATTTTAAGCAGGCAAAAGCTTCTGAATCTAGAAACCCATTCTGATGCCATCACTAGCATTAAAAACAGATGAACCTTGGGGCTCAGTGACTGGCTTATACAACTGTCCTCAGTATCAAGAAAATAGTGACTTTCTTCCATTTAGAAGGCAACATGACTCTGAATAGCTTTGGCCTTACATAGTCCCAGGGTTACTTAGAGGTAATGTGCACCTTGCTTGTCCCTTTCACCTGGTTACTTCAATTCACAAGAATCCATCACAAAGCCTCCAAACCTTCCTGTACTCCTTTGATGAACTGAATTTTGAGGGCCTAACAAGCTTGTTTCCTCTACTGGTTAACTAAGGTCATACTAGTGTCATGATGTCACATGTAGAAGAATTGCTGTTGTAATCACTGATGCTTGGTAGAGGTGAAGAAATATGTGAATAAAAGAGCACAGATGTTATATTTGCCACTGGCTCCAGGATGCAGAGGGTGCTTGGGTCTACCTTCCCACCTTCCTTTCTTGAGACTGCCTTCCCACTATCTTTATTGCCAGCCATCTCTTGCTGCTCCTCCTCTTTCTCATTATCATTTCCACTTGCTTCTTGCCAGATGGGCAGCCAGTGGGCAGGCAGGCCTTAGCATCCATTGTTCCTTCTCTTACCACTGTCAGGACTGGAGCAAGAAGAAGGTGAAGTGGTGGAAGGCTCTGGCCAGTGGGCACCTGCCAGGGTCTGGGCACATGCCTACCTCTGATGTTGGCCCTGCTTATGTGGTTCCCAGCAACAGGGCAAATGGGGTTTGACATACCTCCAAGAGATGGGTGTGTGTATGTTTGTGATAGACAGAACCCAAGTGTCATTGCACAGCTACAGCTTCTCATCTTCCAAGCACTGAAGCAGCACTCTTACTTTTGGACAAGAGAGCACTGAAGCACTGCAGCATGGCGGAGCCCCCTGCTTTGCAGGCACAAGGCTCCAGGTTCGGCCCCCAGCATGTTCAGGCACGGCTAGCAAAGGCTCCTGCCTGAAACCCTGACAAAGCCACTGCCAGCCAGCACCGACAATAAAACGGTGGCCCAGTGGTTCCACTCAGCCTGAAACAGCTTCCTCTGTCCCATTTTCTTATTTCTTAAAACTAGTAGTAGATCCTAGTAGTAGTCAGACGGCCACTAGCCACTATACTCCACTTTGCCCACACCTGAGACACGCTTCTGTGTCACTTTCAGGGAAAAACAGGTCGGAGGGTGCTCCTGCGTTCATGTTCTGTCGTGGGCTTCCCATAGGTGTCTGGTTGTTCCATGTGGGAACAGGATACTGGGCTAGGCACTGATTCGGTCTGACACAGCACCACTCTTCCTATGTTTTTGGCATGACTTCTCCCTTCCATACAGCACCTTAACTTTCAAACTGCAGACTGCTGGCCTCTCTCACACACCCTCATCTGCCATGCTCCATTCCCTTCCATGTGAGCAGTGAGGCTTAAACGCCACTTGGATGTGGGCTGATGCCAGCATTGTCAGAGTTTTAGGGCGTTGGCCTCCTCAGGACCTCCAGAGGATGGAATAGAATCCTTGGGTGAAGGGCCAGGAGCAACCTATTATTCACCCAGCCCCTTCCCAGCTTTCTCTCTCCTTTGAAAGTTCACACCGCTTGCTTTACCTGGGATGTTCTTCCAGTATCACAAAGTTTATGTGAAAGTAACAGAGAGGTGAGCATCCATGCAGGCATTCCCCTCATCGTCGTTCCCTCTAAAAGGGAACTTGAATAGTCATGTCTCATCAAGTCCCTCCTAACATGAACTTGTACCTGCTTCTAAATCATATGTAAGTTCCAGATCATGTCTCTAACTCTTAAACTTGATTCAGCAATTCACTGCAAACCAGGACTTCTCCCAGAGATGCTACTATGGCAGGCCTTTTAACTTTCTCATCTACAATTTCACTTGGACTAGACAGAGTTTTCCTTAATGTCCATTTTCCTACTCTACTTAGCTATCCTCTCAAATGCAAGTTGCACATTTCCTCGGGACAAAAGAAGTCATCACTCCCTATTTGCATATTTTAAGGCAAAGGACGAATGCCCCCCAACTCTTGCTAGCTGCCACTTTGGACATCATTTGGGTTCTGTCTGCTTGCTCTCTGCCAATCTTTTCTCTGAGGAAAGGGGGCTGCTGCCATGCTATCAGCCACCCACTGGGGGTGAGAAAACACAGGAGGGCAGGTTTGTAGTTAGCTATTCCCACAGAGAGAAGAGGAAAACATCATCATCATAATCAATGATAAAAATTAAGAACTTACCACCTGCACACCTAGATCCAATTGGACAGCATACTTAGTCCAATTTGACTACTATTTTGGTAGGGAAACAAAGGCAGGGACTGATCAGGGTTTAATGGTGATCATTTGAATGTGTTTGCTTTCGCACACTTCTTTCACATTGTATTTTCCTTCCTAAGCATGCAGCTGTGTACTTACAGTGGTCCGAAATGAAAAGTCATGCATAATCAATATCCTGGGAATTGTCTGCTGTCAAAGTGCAGTAACTAACCCATGGGCATGGACTCACAGAAGGCTGTAAACTGATACATTTGTTACTTTGCACTCATCTAGCAGTTGTCAAGTAACAGCGAAGCCATGAGAAGAACTTTGCTTGTGGAAGAGGGTGGCCTGTATTATCTCATTTGCAATCCTCTAGATTTTATGTCTGAACCTGCCACTTCTCAGTGTCCTGCACCTTTTTCACCTCTTCTGAGACCACTTTGGGAAACACGCCAATTTAGTGGCTGTCCCCCTGCCCCCCCCCCCAAAAGTCTTTCTTTCAAAATTGTGGTTTTGAAAGGGCAAAACAGGGCTTCTTTTTTTACAGGGTCACATGCAGGCCTGAAATCTGGCAAACCTGGTGCAAGCTGCTGTCTTGTGTTATAACCAAAATGCTGTGGGATCTCATCAGGCTTAAACAAAACAAAATTCCCTGGGCTGCACATCGCTGTGTGCCACTGCTACAAATGATGGCACAGCATTTTTAAAATTTAGGAAATAGGGAGAGGATGCCCAAAAACCTCAGTCATCTCCTCTAGAGAAAGGCGGGCCAAAAGCCCTCTGAAAGCTACTGAATGGCCTTGAAAGTTGTATTGGTTCTAGGGAGTTTGGCCCAGCTTTACCTAACATAAATCTGGGAAAATCTGACTTTCGTTTTGAGGGGAGCAACCAATTCTAGCAGCGCTTCCAACAAAGTCTTTTACTGTGCATTGCCCTGCCTCATTCACAGAGTTTTACTGGGTGTCCAGACAAGGTCAGCGTCTACTCACAACCCTCGTGGGTTCTTCTCTGCCACAATTTGCATTGTTGTGCTTGCCACGAGAATTCATTATGGAGAAAAAGAGGGAATGGGTGCATGATGCTAGGAGGCGTCCATCTGGAAGTGTCCAAGTGCTGTGTGTAATGGGAGGAGTTCAAATGCAGCAGCTCCTACTTAGAGTCACAGCAGCCAGGTGGAGGGCTTTCCAGAAGCTGCATCTCACCATGCTGAAATAGATCTGCATGTTGTATCTAAAGGACCCTGTGTTCCTTCTCACCGAAGGAAAATAAGTAGTGGGTGGTGGAGAGGGAAACCCCATGATTATTTAGGAAATGAATTAGTTTCTATGATGGCTCCTATCATTAAGCAGATGTTCCACACGGTGGAGCTCTAATACCTTTAACAGAAAACTGTAATCCTCATCAACTCAAGGGATAGTATAATGACTATCTCTTGGGATAGATAGTTCTAGTTAATTGATGCAGTTGTATGATTTCTGCACAGCGGGGAGATTAAAGCTACATAAAGAACTGTAACTATGCAAGTGGGAGAGATGAATGACTGAGGGATAAAGGAGGTGGAAATAAATGCAGGGAAGTCTTACCTGAATGCTCCATTCCAAAGTGTCACTTTGCCTCATGGTTGTCACTTTGCGCAAAGACTGCAATGCTGGAAAATGAGTTATTGTGTATCTGGTTATAGGGCAGAATTCTTTGAAGTTGTGCTCTCTGTGCATCATGTTGTTCAAAGGATGTGTGAGCTTTCTACACACAGAAGATACTTGGAATAGTGGGAATGAGGTTTAAGTGTTTGTCTGTCAGAAGCATGATGGGTGTTCACAAGATCTCAGTAGAGATCTGAGGACATTGTCCATTATGCCCAGCAGGGGTAGCCCTGGGTCAAGGATTACAGAATTCTGCAGTGAAACTTTGGCTTCTTTACCTGGGAAAGTCTAACTGTTCTGGTGGGACAGTGACTTCATTAAGCCCTATGCGCAGTTTTGTGCATATTTAGTTTGTCTTGTTAAAGGTATTACCTGACTGTAGATTTTTTTTCTTATGGAGCAGCATGGCTTTATCTATAAGTAGAAGTTAAGTCAATAGTTGGGCTCAGAACATCTTTCCCTTTCTTCAAAATAGAAGCTCAATGGAATGCTTCTGATGGATTGCAAATACTTTGCTTATGGAGGGGGAAGAACAGAAATAAGAATGCCCCCATCAAATAGTGTGGCCACATTGACTGAGGTCCATCTATCCCAGTATTTCATTTTCAACCCCAGCATGATGCCTCTGCATCTGTTCACAAATGGCAGAAAAGGGTCGGAGGGTGGGTGGGCTCTGTTTCTGCTATCTGCTAATTGGAGCGCAGTGCAACAAAAGTGCCATTTAGCAATCATGGCCATCAGAATAGCCATTGCCCAATGAGATTTGCAGTACCCTGTTGCAGTGTGAAATGCTTCTGCTCAGGATGTCAAGCTGCCCACCGTGGCCTTTTCCAGGATACTCCTTTCTTGCTCCGCCTGGTTTTCTACTCCCTGCTCCTCTCCTCTCTGTCAAGATTCAGTCAGCATTCTGTTTCCAAACCACACCACACCACACCAAACCTTCAGATGTGTCAGAAAGACTTTCTCAAACTGCCAGTTTTCATTCTGCTCCCACTTAAACTTGGAGGACTTTATGTATAGTTTTGGATTTCCTTGGGGTGACTTTAGAAAAGGAAATGTGGCTAGTTGGGTCTGCACATGCCACTGAATTGTGCCCATTGTCTTAAAGCAGGAAGGGGCAGAGTGCAGATCAGGATCTTCCAGTAGATCTCTCAGCAATTTGCAAAAGATCAGCAAGGGTTCCTGACTCCCAACTGTCTGATAATAGCTAATTTCCAGGAGTTAAAAAAACCCTCCTCCTTGCCACCCCACACATTAGATTACTGAAGAGAATGGCTGGGACAAACCAGGAGTGTGGCATGTTCTGTGAAAGAACTTCTAAGCTTGGTTATAATATTGATGGACAAATAAACAAACAACTAAATAAATCTGTTCTGTATTATACTTTGCTCCAGGGGGTGGCCTCCTGGTTCTAGTTGAAGGTCCAGTAGATCTGGCACACCTGACATCTGCTCACCCTGACCCAAATTGTTCCTGGAAGATGAGGGGAAGCCAGTTAGTCTGACACAATATTTATTTATTTATTTATTTATATTTAAAGTTTTTATATGCCATTCCAATACTGAAAGGTTTCTGGGCGGCTTACAAAAAACAATATTGCTCTCATGTGGTCCAGCAAACTGCCTGCTTCTGGAAATGGGATTGATGGTGTTTGGGGAATAGGTTTTGCATGAAGTGCTGGAGCTGGGAAACGTACTTGTGTGCCTAATGGAGATCTAGGGTTTGAAAGGGGCCTAACATGGATGCCACAGAAACCAAGCTTGGTAGTCTTCAGCTCCAATACATTTTCAGACAAGGCAAAGTCTGGGCCAGAGAAGACCTAGTGAAGCAACAGGGCTTGGCAAACCTGGTCCTACATTGCTTCTGTGAGGAAGTGGAGTAGTTCTGTTTGTAGCTCCATTGCTAGTCAACTGTGGACAAAATATTAAGGCTGACTTAAGCATACCAGCATAAATATTTAAGAGACCTTCCCCCTCCTTTTGTTTTAATGTAAGGGAATGTCAATTACTAGAGTAAAATAGTGAGTTTCTTTTATTTATGATTCCATGGCAACCTTGTGTTAACAGTAGCAGTTTCTATTTACAAGGAAAGGTTAGCTGAATACTAATAAGTGCAGGAATCAAGGCAAGGCCAACCAATAGATAGCTAACCAGTTGTGAAACCACCATGAACTCATTGCAGAGGAATTGCTTAACACCACCACAGAATACATGGGAAACCACTCTGCGAGCACAGACGCAGCAGCACTTTTAGCTGCTACATGCAGGCAGTCCTCAGGTTATGGACAATTTCCATTCCTGAGAAAATGGAAATGTGTCTTTAAATCGAAATTGTATGTAGGTCAGATCACATATTGTTGCCACCCCCCCCACATTTGCAGGGGTCAGGGGTGCAGGACCCACCCTCTCCAGATGGGCACAATAGGAACACATGCTTTGGAGGCCTCCCTCTCTTCCCTTTCACTTTCTCTCTCTCTCTATGGTGATGCTTTGCAGGCCCTCTCTACCCTTTTGCTTTCTTTCTCTCTATGGTGATGATGATTCCATGCAGTATTTTTTTAAATTAATTGGCTTTGTGGCAGTCTATTTGTAATTATGCATTGTTTGTAACTAGGATGTTCATAACTCAGGGACTGTCTGTATAAGCAATTGAGCACTTAGAAAGCTCGGGGGATACACACAAACTCTTCCAGCCTGTAAAAACAACTTGGGGAGATAAAAGCTGCTTTGTGCAGAGTCAGACCCTTGGTCCATCCAGCCCAGTATGGTCAACACTGACCGGTAGCAATGGCTTTCCTAGGTTTCAGGCAGGTGTTTTTCCAATGCTACCTGGACATGAGGACATTGAACCTGGGACTATGTGCCTGTAAAGCAGGTGCTCCCCCACTGGGCTATAGCTCCTCCCTAGTTCTCCATCTACTTCCCTGCTGGGACCTGTGTTTAGCAGGCAGGTGCTAACTTAATTCCTGAACTTCAGCATGCAGATCCATGGGGACAGGCATGATGCTGAGTTCGTGGTCCACGTCGTCTATTGAAGAAGTGGCTCAGGCAGCTCCGAAGGCAATTCGTTGGTTGCAGCTGTATATCTATAAGGACCGTGAGGTCACCAGGTCTTTAGTGCAACGTGCGGAGAAAACTGGATACAAAGGCATCTTTCTGACTGTAGACACACCATTCCTTGGGAAACGCCTAGATGATGTGCGGAACAAATTTCAGCTCCCTTCGCATCTCAGGTAGTTGTGGGCATCGGCCCCTTTCCAGCATTTTTCAGTAGCTGTGCTTGAATCCTACACCTAAACACAATGCCCATGCAGTACTAATAGGCCAGTGTGGCATTATTTACTTGTAGAATTAGAGCCTTCCCTCTCCCACCCCCACCCCCACCCCCACCCACTCTGCTAAAAGTTGTTGCTAGTTGCAAAGTCGTGTCCATCCTGTCACAACCCCATGGACAACATTCCTCCAGGCCGTCTTGTCTTCTACCATCCCCTGCTAAAAGTAGCCAACAACAAAAAATACCCAGGTAAAGATGACGGTACATTACACTTTACTGCAGTGCTACAAACTATCTGTAATGATTCAAAGTCCTTAAAACGGCTCTCCTGTGGTGGTTTCGGTTTGATTGTTGTAAGAATACCAGAAGGAGAGGTTTTCCTCACCTTCTCAGTGTCTGCATCCCAGCCATGTTAACCTTGCACCGTTAGCTATAAGTCAGGGTCTTTCCATCCAAGGAGATAAAGAGCAGGGGCAAAATACAAAAATACCAGCACATCTTAGCTGAAGAGCACAACCCTGTGCATGTTTAAATGTTTAAAAAGTCTTACAACTCCCATCATCCTCCAATCTGCTGTATAAACGCTGGTAAACCAAATGGTTGGTGGTTAGGGTGAAGGGACCATGGCTATCCACAGAATGTTGGAGGATGTGGTTGGAATTAATGGGGATAAGCCAGGCTGGACAGCCACTTTAAGCAAAGTTCGAGCCAATGTACTTCAACACTGTTTCACGATGAGCACCCCAACAGGCTAGATGCAAGAAAGCCAAGGGCTGAGCTGCTCTTCCGGTCAAGGAGAAGCACATGCTGCCTGCTGCAGGGGCAGGGAGGGAGGGAGGGAGGGAGGGAGAAGAAAGGAATGATGTAACTGCAATGCAATGAAAACACAAAAGGCTGTTGATACTGCACATTCTCCATTTCCCACTAAAGTCTGGAAGCATGCTGTGGTTGTTCTGGTTGTCCCCGGCAGATTCTGTCTCATTCATCGACAGAAAATCCCATGTTTCTCCCATCTCCTTCTAGGATGTCTTTTGTGAAAGGCCATTCCCAGAAAAATCTACAGTGGCTTCTCTTTCTCCCAACATGGATTGACACAATCTTACTTCACTTGATTCAAGCAGAAGTGGTGTGAGCCACTTGCCAGCGTGTAAAAGTGTAATGTTGGGCGTAAGCTTGCATCCTGAACTGAGGCACGGAACAAACTCTGCTGTGCTGCACCAAGTGTAAGAAGGCAGCAGCCCTCCCTCCTTATCTCAGGCTCCTCCCCTCCAATCTAGCATTTACAGGGTAATGCCTCTGAACATGGAGAGTTGCTTTTGCTCTCATGGCTAATAACCAGTGATGGTCCATCCTCCTCAATGAATTGGTCTCATGTCCTTTAAAGCCATCTTAACCAGTGGGCACTGCCATGTCTCCTGGTCATGGTTCTATCAGTTAGAGAGTGTGAAGAAGTCATTTTGTCATATAAAATCATGGTTCTTTCTGAGTACACGTTCTTGTTGATGACAACCATAAGGCAACCTTAGCTAGTTAGAACACATCACAGAAAGCAGACAGTATTATCCTAAAGTACTTCTGTGTCTTTGTTTTGTTACCTTAACTAAATATTATATGATCAACCAAGCCTTCCCCCATACTGCCTCCTTTATGGAAAGACTTTGAGCAAAAAAATGGCCAAACTATGAGTCCTCAAAACCTACCTTTATATATACATCCCAGGCTGACTCAGCGTTATGCTGTGTAGGTGCTGTAGAATTCACCTGCAGGATGCTCCATGAGGCCCTCCTGGGCTATTGATTGGTCTGGTAGAGACCACCCCTCATCCCCAAGGAATACCTTATTTGCAAAAGAAACTTTTGCTTTGTGTCTGACTGGCTGGCAGAGAGTGAAGACAAGACCCAGCCAGCCTCAGACCCCAGGACTCTCACAAGCTGCTCTGGTGAGTGACTCATAGGATCCTCCTAGGGAAAGGTTGGGGAGCTAGTCTTCAGTTTCATTTCATTTTGGAAGCCTTGGACTATTCCTGAACTTCTCTCTGCTTGGTGCTTCAATGCATATATTGAATTGGACCTTGGGATTGATTCTCTTGCCTAGCCTGAAGGGTGGCCTTACCCATGCTCTGGACTGCTTGGCAAACACACCAACTTGGTGGCTAGGGTGTTTAATGGAGGCCCTGAAAAGGGTTCTGTCCTTCCTCATAAAGAAAAGGCAGGAGCCCGGATGCCTGTGATACACAGGATGTGTTCCTATGCCAGTAGTAGGAGTAGGAGTGGTGGCAACAGTTCAACATTCTGAGGAATATACACAAATCAGTGTCTGGCACCGTTCTTGCGGGTCTTGTATCCTCTTTCAGGAATGCAGCTGCACAGACCTGTTTGTCACACATGATATATAAAAATGGGCATTTTTAGACATGATGGGTGTTGATTTTTTGTTCAGAGTTGAAGCTATGTTGAGTTTAAAATTCATGTTGCCTTGCCCAGGTGAGTTCTCTTACAGGTTTTTTCCCCACCCCAAACTTCAGGATGAAAAATTTTGAAACAAATGACCTGGCATTTTCATCTGAGAAGGGCTATGGTGAAAACAGTGGCCTTTCCGTTTATGTAGCAGAGGCAATTGATCCTTCAATCAACTGGGAAGATGTAAAGTGGCTCAGAGGACAGACAGCACTGCCTATCGTTGCTAAAGGCATCCTGAGAGGTTTGTTCAACTGAAGCTAAAGATGGGAGAAGGCTAAGGGGTTGAACAGGCGTGCAGATCCTCAGGCCCAGATACCAAATCTGCCCCCCACCCCGGAGCCCCATCTGGCCAGCTGGGGCTCCACAGGACGCCACACCCCTTTCCCCTGGCCCTGCTTCATTTCCTCCCACTACCACACATGGGGTGGTTTAGGGTTATCCTGAAGTGTTTCCTACTCACAAAGTTTGGAAAACCTTTCTAAAGCCTTAATTGCCAGGAGCTTGAGCTTGCAGCTAGCACAAACTGGAACTGGGGGATGGGGTTGGCCCTTCCCACTCTGGCTGCCAGCAGCTTCTCCAAAATGGAATTCGGCTCATGGGTGGAAAGTGGCTCTCAACTCCTGCAGTGCAACAGCACAAGAGATTGCACATATGATTTGGGACAGGAGCAGCGTATTTCCTTAATGCTTGTTGCAATGTATTCCCTTGGGCTTTGCTGTCAAGGGGCAGCATCAGCTCCACCCATTCTGTGTACCACACACTCCTTGGCTTATTTTTTTTTTCATTTTTAGTAAAGATAATAGGTAGTTAGCAAAGAATTAGCAAGCCAGGACAAAATGCACCTCAAGTTTCCTTTGATGCACCTCAAAATACACCTCAAGAAACCCTCTGATGTAGTCTTCCTCAGCATTCCTGTTCCTTGGGCATGCCAGCTGTGGTTTATGGGAGTTTATTTAATAGATTTATATACCACTGAATATATTTTAAAATGTTTCTAATTGGTTGAAATCCAAAATACCTGGAGGGCACCAGGCTGAGGAAGGTTGCCCTATAAAAATGGACAAGGGGGTATATAAAGTATATGCTGGGACAGGACTTCCTGAACTATTGATGCTCCAATCTTCCTCCAGTTCCTGATTTATTCAAAGCTACATTTGATCACCTATGGCTCTGAGTGCTGAGATTTTGAGTGTCCTCTATACAGACTACTTCAAATTTGACTGAAAAGCCCAGACCCATTGGCTCGGTTAAGCAGAAAAAGAACAGCCTTTTCTTTTGTCCACCTGAATATCAATATTCTAGAACTACTTCATTGGTTATTGCACTATGACTGCAGTTCTGTACCCACTTACCTGGGAATTCAATGCCAACTATAGCTGTGTAGGCAAGTACAGGATTACCTTATAACTGTTTTAGCGTCCCTGAACTAAAATCTAAAACAGTTGGAAAAGCTTCCCAGGTGTCCTCCAGGATTTGCTGGCAGGTGCTCTACCTCCCATCAGGATGTCTGTTTACACCTGTGAATTCAGGATGGTTGTAGACAAGGCCTTGCTAGAATAAACACGGGCTGGCCAGGTCTGGAACCTTGGCTTTTGTGCTCTTTTTCTACACTCCCACTTCCAGTTGATTCAATGTGTCTAAAGTTTTGCCATGGTCAAGGAAAGTCTCTTTTTGTGGCCTTGTTTTTTGGATGAAGTGTAGGGATGGAACAGTGTAAGTCTCCTGTCATTCCATGTCACTTCTTCAGCCACCATGGTTTCTTCACCAAATGGGAAAGTTTCACCTGACAGTTTTTGTCATGTCTCACCAGCCCTCCTATCCCTAGGACAGCATTAATTGTTAGCTGTTGAACTGCCTTTTGTTTTACTAATTTATTTTTTAATAAAGCCCCCTTTTCTGGAGAAGTTGTGATTGTGCCTGCATTGCTCCATCCCAGGCACTATGCAAGGGTCATTTGATGCCTGGTCTGTGTTCCAAAGTTATGCACATTGTTTGAGAGAAGAGGCTCTTTTCTGGGCCAGCTCTGTAGCTTCTCCCCTGGCAGAATAGATCCAGGGCCACAGTAGGAAGTGGTCTTCCAGCACTTGGACATATGCTCAGTTCTTCTGAATAAGGGATATACTGATTTTATTAAATCTGTTCCACTTCTGTTTCATGAATCATCAAGCATCTTTTGGTGGAATCAGATGCTATTTTACCAGAATGCTGTTCTGTTAGTGCTAATGCACATTAGTTAATGCACATAAGCACTGATGTGCTTTAGAACAGATCCCCTCTGAAAGTGCTCTATGAATCTGTGGAATCTCTGGAACTCCAATAAAGCCACTCTGCTGCAGAACTCATAGGTCAGATGCATCCAAATTTATTTCACTCCGTTGTGGATTTCTTTGACACCCCTATTAAGAAGGGGTGAAAACAGAGTCCCTGAAAACAGAGTAGTTTGCACATGTGCTTAGGGATCTGTAATCTGAGCAAGGCAGGTAATAGCTCAGAGTAGCATACAGCCCTTTTCCTAAAAGTTAATAGTTCCATTCCTAAGGGTTGCAGTCTAACAAAAGGAAATGGTTTGGGGGGGATAAAAGAGGCCAAATGGAATAATATAACTTTATAAACACAATTTTTTAAAACCAAAACCTTTAAACCTTAAACACCCAGGTTACGCCATAACAATTGGTTCCCCGCTAAAAAAAAAAAAAAAAAAGCATCAAAAGGACTGTGCTGTTTTCCAGTGGCCACCTGAGAAATGCCTATTGTTAAAGAGGTCTTAAAGCCCTGGCTGGAGGGGGAGCAACATTTTGATAAAATGAAAGTGTTGGAATAATCCTGCCCCTAGCAGAATAAAATGCTAGAATTTTGTTATTTTGGATTTTAATAGTTGCGTGCAGCTTTAGACTCTGCTTCACAACATGGCTGAGGGAACCCCCCCAAGCACCTGCACTTCAAAATTTAACACTTTGCCACTGGGTGTGTGTTGTTAAGTGCACAAGCATATGCCCACGCAGAGCCTGTTTAGGCAGTAACAATACTCATGCATGCCAGAAATATTTCTACCACTCTTTTAAAAAAAATCATGCTGCAGCTGTTCAAGGGTTTGGTGCAGACTTCTCCAACCTCATGCAATCAGGACCTTTTGGACTACAACTCCCAGAAATCTGACAAGTGTCTGCTGGCTGGAGTACTGAATCCAAAACAGGTGGAGAGCATGAAGGTTCTGTGACATGCTATCACTTTTTCTTAAGGGTGCTCATTTGTCTTTTAACAAATGTGGCGCTATTCTTGTCTGAAATGAAATTTAGACTTATCATAACAGGTGTTAAGGTTTGGGCCAGACCTCTTTAATAAATACATATGAAAGAGTATTTCTTTTCATTATTTTTAAATAGGAGTATGAATTCACATGGCTTGCAAATAAATTCAAGAGCAGATGTCATGGGAAGAGTATGTTTGAACTCACTCAATGTACTGTACATACAGACCCCTGCAGCCTCCTCTGGACTGCATATGATTGGTGGAATTATGAGGTCCTTTTCTCCCTTCGCTCAGTGTCATTATTCAAAACCCATCTGAACATCATCAAGTGGCTATATTATGAGGATGATTACAGTAACTATTAATTTTTGTCAGCAGGAAATCTCTGTGCAAAAGGGCTGCTTTTAAAGGAGATGAGAACCACAGGGTGAATGCTTATCTGCTCTTCTGAAGAGGGTACTGAAGTTCTTTTGCACAGCGATAAATGATGCTCTTGACTTGGGGGACAATCAAACTGTTGACTTTAGCTTGGTTCTAGGTGTTACCATTTAATGTAAGAGTTGAATTGCATTCCTTATGTGGCCTGCTTCTGAACAGCTGGCCTTGGTTCTGCATGTTGATTGAAGAGTTTTACAGATGCATTTCCACAAAGACAGCTGCAACTTGTAAAGGCCCCATGCTTGTTTTCCCCAGCTGATGATGCTAGAGAAGCTGTGAAGCATGGTGTCAATGGGATCCTGGTGTCGAATCATGGTGCGCGCCAGTTGGATGGCGTTCCAGCCACTGTAAGTACTGCAGGAACAAGTTAGAGCTGGTCTTAGAGACGGGCAAATTATTTGGGTTCAGCTTCAGCAATTAAGCCATTTTTTTCTAAGAAGAGAAAATATTTGTGGCTTTCAAAGATGTTTTGATGCTCGCCTTATAGAAAAACCAACTTCAAGCAGAAACATTTACTGTGTGGTATTGGCTTTTGCCCTTAGGACATTTCGCTTCTCATTGCAGAAATGTCTCTTTAATTTTTTCTCTCATTCTGCTTAACTCCTAGTTGAAAAAGTGAAATGCTACTAGGCTTTGGATATTTTTTTTAGCCATGTTAGTCTGAATAATTTTTTCATAATGACATACTCATCCAGCCGGTCTTGTCACATAGAATAAAGCAGGCAGCACAAAAGTTCCAGTGTGGCTGGATTTGGTCCAACATGGCTAAAGAAAGCAGAAGGTTGTACAGAGGAGATGCAAATGTAAATGATAAACACACTGAACTGATCTACAATCTCCATCCCTCTTCCTGTTTATTCTTTAATATTTATACTGCTTCTCTGCAGAAAAATAGAGATGTGATTAACTTGGTTCCTATAAAATGTTGCCAGGCACAGTCTTTTGAAAACAAAATTACAAGGCCATTTTTCATGACATTTTATTTTATAGTGACAAAATAAGGGAAGCCAAAAGAGTATGCATAACCATAAATCAAGATCACCAAAGAAACTAAGGGGTGGTGCAATCCTGTGGTCACTAGACAGGGTCTAGGCAGCCATAGGATAATTTTTGGACACCCAGCTCTGACCCTGGGAAATTGCTTGGAGGTGGAAGCTGGGTCTCCAAACTCAGGAGTGCTTCCCTGCCTGCCCTTCCAATCAACTGCGCCCCTAAAGCTGCAACAGCAACCATGGAGATAAGCTTTTGTGGGTGGGGAGGGAAGGGGAGGAGAGAGCTGTGTCAGCATGCTCAGTATCCTAATGGCACCTCATCCTCCTTCCTATCCACTCCAAGATGGCTGAAATCAGCTGTCTAAGTGATTCTTATGGTGGGAGGAGTGCTTTGAGGCTCCTTCTGCTCAGCATAGGATGTTTCCAGTCCTCCAGTTTGAAGGGTAATACGGCAGTATTAGGTTCTTGGAGTTCACCCTAATTCAGTATGTTTAATTCATCTGTGGCCAATATGCTTATGAAACATCTGCAGTAAAATGGTCCAAGGAAGAATTCACAGTGTATACAGCATATAAAAGAGGAATTTGAAAACTATAATAAATTTCAATTAAAATACACATCCAATAGATGGTCCTTTTATTTTTATAAAGCTCACTACCTGCTGACTTGAGCATATTTGCATGTCTTAATTTATTTTATCATCCATAGCTGTTTGTAATGTGATTCATAAGAGAAACAGGACAATGGACAATAGTCTTTTTGTTGCCCACAACTTCTCTTGAGCCAAAATAGAAACGTTTGCATCTTGCTTGGTAGGAAGATGTAGAAATTCTTTGTGCAAGGGACATTTCTGCATTGCCCTGCTAAGAGGTGGTCAGGGGAAGCGGGGAGGGATGGAGACTTCAAGTCTCCTGAAAATCACAAAGAAGAATAGAGAGATGCAGACTAAATACCTAGAGCATCAAATTGATGGATTCTATACAACTACAGGCAGTCCCCAAGTTACAAACATCCTAGTTACAAGCAACCCATGGTTATGAACAAATTGCCATATAGCCTATTAATTTTTAAATATTACTGTGGAAAACTGTCAACACCATAGTGAAAGAGGAGAGAGGGAGGCCTCCAAAGCATACCTTCCTATCCCACCCATCTGGAAAAGACGAGGCACTGGTGAGTTGACTGGAGCAGGGATGTAAAAATATTCATGATTTTTCCACTTTCACAGGGGTCCTGTGCCCCCTTCACCTGCAAAAGTGGAGGGCCAACTTTATGTGATCAGTCTTGGGTACAAATTTGACCAAAGACAAATTTCAATTTTCTCAGAAACAGAAGTTGTTCATAACCCAGGGACTGGCTGTATGTAGGACAGTGGGAGGCTTATTTCTGATCCATGTAAACTTTGCATGTGTTCATCTGTAAATTTGTTCCTCTAGTAACAGCACTAATCTTCATTTTCAAACATCCACACAGAAAATTTGTATTTCGGTACATATTTCTGAATGTTTCTCCCTCCCACACAAACAACACAGTTCTAAAACTGTGCAAAAAGAATGTGCTAGGTCCTAAATATAATTTTTCAAGAATAGCTAGAACAAATGTCAAGTTTCATAGCATTTCCACGTGGCTAGAGAGGTACAAATCAGCACAACCAAAGCTTGTTGAGGTTCTCTGAATTCAGCTTTGAAGCTCATTCTACTTCATATCCATTTCAGATTGTAAGGAAATTCACACTTATTTTCATGTGTATCTTTTCTGCCATTGATCAAAGCATGTTGGTACATATTTTTTAAAAGTGTGCCTGTTTAAGCACATTATTTTTGGGTTCTGCAAATCACACTACAGCATGAGAAATAGATGAACATTGAATACAGATTGTGTTTGGATCCACATTCTCTTCCAGAGTGGCAGATTAAGTAGATTTTGGTTAAAAATCAATTGAAATGAATTTTTCATACACATGGCAAGCCATTATGTGATGTTTCCTTATACTGAGTCAGACCATCAGTTTCCCTGAATTGTCTTCTCTGGCTAACAGCAGCTCTCCAGGGCTTCAAGTGATCTTTCCCATCAACTGCTAAATTGGATCACTCTTTAAAATGTAGGTGCCAGGGACTGAACGTGGGCTTTGTCTATGAACTAAGGCTTTCCCCAAAAAATTTATAATAAAAGTTGATGTTTGGAATTTCTTTGGTTCTTGAAACCTGTCTGAACAGCTTTGCTTATTTTGGTTCTGAGAACAAACTGAATCCAAATTGGTGAATGTTTCTAGTGTCTAGTTACAGACTTGATGAAATGTGTGCCTTAATTATGGCTTGTTGTCATATTCAAGTAATGGCACTTGGCGCAATATGCTGGGATGCGAAAGTGAGCCCACATAGGTGGAAGTGGAACCAAATTATCTGGCAGCCAAGCAAAATCCAAAGAGGAAAAACAACCCCTTTTATTGTGTTCCAGATGATGAGAAAACCTCAATAATAATATACAAGTAAACTAAACTTGCAAGTTTCAATTTTGCCTTCAAAGAAATTACTGTTGCTCTCGCTTGTCACTTGTAGCATCACTTTCTGTGTATGAAATAGTGTTATGTGTACACACACATACCTTTGCAGTCTTACACATCAACACGTTATGCTTTGGAGGAATTATGGCCATTTTATTGAAGACTTGGAACTTATCTGCCATTTAGTGTCACATCTAATTATGATCCTGATTTTTTTTTTGCATCAGCAGGTTTTAATATGCAAAATAAGACTATTCCATCAGCCTACTGGAATGATTTAACCATAGTCCTTCTGCTAGGAGGCGTCGTTTTGCCTTGATCTTTTTTATTTTCATTTTTATTGTACAATACAACCCCTTCCCAACTGCACCATTAAAAAAGCAGGTGTGTGGATGGCAGGGGTAGGGCAGGGGAGCAAAACTGAAACAATGGGGAAGAGGATCCAGAAATGAAGATTCCAAAACCGATCAGGGAGAGGAACGTAATCTGGGTGGAGGGGGGACCAAAATCAAGTGCAAGACAACAAATAGGTCTCATGGTATAAGGAAATGCCAGCAAGTCCAAATCCACCCTCTTTGGTAGAATGCTGCATCCTTTTCAAAGATATTCATGGTGGAGTAGAACCCCACAAAAATTATGAAACAAAACATTAAGCTTCTGGAAATACCTGCCAAATATAAATAAAGGAACACCATGTAAAACATAAACAATTGCGGTATTACATTTATTTTAAGTGTATTTACCCTACAGACTTAACTTTATAAATGCCCATCTGTCGATGTCCCTTGAGACCTCATTAATCAATTTACTCCAATTTGACTTAATCATTTGTGATATGTCTCTTGGGAGAAGTATTCCTAGACGGGAAATAGACTTAGCACAAAGTTTAAATTGCCAATTAGATAAATACTCTGTGGGGTATATTATATGCAACAGACAGAATTTCTGACTTCTGCTGGTTAATAGAATAACCAGATAAATGTCCAAAACCATTAATTGTCTGAGTAGAGAAATGGAGTTCCAAAATGAACAATAGAAGATTATCAACATAGAGAATAACTTTGTATTGTAATGAATTATGTATACATTCAGGAGTGTTGTTTAGGATTTCGTTGAGCAGCACACACCAGGGGCTTGAAGAAAGAGGACATCCCTGCCTATAACCTCTCTCAAGTTATGGAAAAAATACCCTCAGACAAGATCCCATTGTTCCTAACTCTGGCTCTGAGGGCTTCATATATTTTATATGAAAATATAAAATTTATGAAATTATGGAGGAGAACTAAAATTTCTCAATGTGGCAACAATAAGTTTCCAATACATTTTATTGAAGGCCTTCAGAGTGATAATGGCAGCTTTGTGAATTCTATCTTTATTTAATATAATCAGATCTACATCCAATCTAAGAATATCAGCCTCCTGCATATTTTGAATGAATCCCACTTAATCCGTATGGACTAACCTTGTAATAACTTGTTGTAGTCTGTCAGCTAAAACTGTAGTTAGTATTTTAATATCAACAGTAATCAATGAAATAAAATAGGTCAATAATTAACACCAAGGGTATATTCTCTATCTAGTTTAGGCATTACTATAATAGAAGCTGTTAAAGAAATTATAACATTTGGGAACTAGAAAGCTGAAACATGTTTTAAACCACTCAGTTGGAAATCCATGTGGACCAGGTGCTTTCCTGTTTTCATGTTGTTTATTGCTTTTGTAACATTGATATCTGATACTTCACAGCCACAGCTACATAATTCTGAATAACATTTTCAAAATAGAGAATGTATGTTTCTAGGATGAGTAAATTTCTTGCCGATATTGTCTTTAATTGCCAAGATAGCATTCTGATGTTTGCAGTTGAAGGCAAACTGCTAATGTTTTACATCATATTTCCCAATATGTAGTGCAAATTCTACCTTCTGTAAACTTTTTAAATTCAACTCATATTTAACATGGTGTAACCCTTGATAATTGATTTGGGAAGGTAGCAAAATGATAAGAGTTTTCAGCCAATCACTTAAAACTATTTTCATTTTGCCTTGTTCCAGTGAGGGTATTTGCAAATGTCTAGTCTGGAGAGTTTAGAATCAGAGGCTTTTCAGTTTATGCAGTTGATATAAAGCATAGCTTTGCAGGCATTATCTTTGAGCTATAGCATAGTTCAACCTTTCTCAACCTGAAGACCTCCTTATGATTTCTATCACAACTCCAAGCATCTCATAATGGCTGGGGTTAATGGGACTTGAAGTCCAAAAGATCTGGACAGCACTGAGTATTATTCTCAAAAACCAAATTCTTAAGAGTTCCTTCAATGACGTTAGCATGTACAAGGTGAAGGAGCTGACTGGGTTTGGCAACTGATTGATAGCAAGGAGATGGGATGACCACTATAAGAATGAGGCATACTGAGAATAAAGACGCTGTAGTGAGAGTCAATGCTGCCTAACAGGACATTAGAAGGTAGCAGAGGTAATCAGTGACCACCCAGGGTATGTGCAGAAGTGTTTCCTTCTCATTCATGGCTATTTTTGGATGTCAGTAACTAGACCTTTAGATGTGTAGCTAACCTTGAACATAAATCAGTTTTCTCCAACCTGGGGTCCTTCTGATGTTTTGGACCTGATCCCATCAGCCCCAGCAAACATGGCCAAAGGCCAGGAATTTTGGGAGTTGTCGTCTAAATCATTTGGAGGGCACCGAATTGGTGGAGTCTGGCTTAAATGTTCACACTCAGCATGTGGAAATAAAAATGATAGTTGTGCTCCTAGCTTGTTCAATGCTTCATCTGTGAGCCTAGTGTTTAGAAAATGTTTACAGGGGTTTTTTTTCTCCTGCCACCTCCACCCCTGTTTACAGATTGAGGTCCTGCCTGAAATCATAGAAGCTGTAGAAGGAAAGGTGGAGGTGTTCCTAGATGGTGGAGTAAGAAAAGGCACAGATGTCCTCAAAGCCCTTGCCCTGGGAGCCAAAGCAGTGTTTGTAGGAAGGCCTGTAATCTGGGGACTGGCCTATCAGGTAATCAGATATATCCAGCATGGTTACTGCTTGTTGTTAGTTGTGAAGTCGTGTCTAACCCATCGTGACTGCATGGACAACTTTCCTCCAGGTCTTTCTGTCCTCCACCATTCCCCGGAGTCCACTCAAGCTCACACCAACTGCTTCAGTGACTCCATCTAACCACCTCATTCTCTAATGTCCACTTCTTTTGCCATCTATTGTTCCCAGCATTAGGCTCTTCTCCAGGGAGTCCTTCCTTCTCATTAGGTGACCAAAGTATTTGAGTTTCATCTTCAGGATCTGGCCTTCTAAAGAGCAGTCAGGGTTGATCTCTAGGACTGACCAGTTTGATCACCTTGCTGTCCAAGGGACTCACAGGAGTCTCCTCCAGCACCACAATTCAAAGGGCTCAATTCTTTGGCGCTCAGCCTTCCTTATGGTCCAACTTTCACAGCCATACATTGTAACTGAGAAAACAATAGCCTTGACTATGCACACTTTTGTTGGCAGGGTGATGTCTCTGCTTTTTAGTATGCTGTCTAGATTTGCCATAGCTTTCCTCCCCAGGAGCAAGCGTCTTTTAATTTCTTGGCTGCAGTCCCGTCTGCAGTGATCTTGGAGCCCAGGAAAATGAAATCTGTCACTACCTCCATTTCTTCCCCATCTATTTGCCAGGAAGTGAGAGGACCGGATGCCATGACCTTAGTTTTCTTAATGTTGAGTTTCAAGCCAACTTTTGCGCTCTCCTCCTTCACCCGCATCAAGAGGCTCTTTAGTTCCTTTTCACTTTCTGCCATGAGAGTGGTATCATCTGCATATCTGAGGTTGTTGATATTTCTCCCAGCAATCTTAATTCCAACTAGTGATTCATCTAGCCCCACCTTTCTCATGATGTGTTCTGTATATAAGTTAAATAGGCAGGATGACAGTATACAGCCTTGCCAAACTCCTTTCTCAATTTTGAACCAATCAGTGGTTCCGTGCCCAGTTCTCACTGTTGCTGCTTGACCCACATATAGGTTTCTCAAGAGACAAATAAGATGGTCAGGTACTCCCATCTCTTTAGGAACTTGCCACAATGTGTTGTGATCCACACAATCAAAGGTTTTAGCATAGTCAATGAAGCAGAAGTAGATGTTTTTCTGGAACTCCCTAGCTTTCTCCATGATCCAGCATATGTTGGCAATTTGATCTCTAGTTCCTCTCTCTCTTTGAAATCCTGCCATCGTGGTTATCAGGGATGTTAAGGTCTTCCTTGTATAGTTCCTCTGTGTAATCTTGCCATCTCTTCTTAATCTCATCTGCCTCTGTTAGGTCCCTGCCATTTTGGTCCTTTATCATGCCCATCTTTGCATGAAACGATCCCTTCATATCTCCAATTTTCTTGAAGAGATCTCTGGTCCTCCCTATTCTATTGTTTTCTTCTATTTCTTTGCACTGTTCATTTAAGAAGGCATTCTTATCTCTCCTAGCTATTCTCTGGAATTCTGCATTCAATTGGGTGTATCTTTCTCTTTCTCCCTTGCCTTTCGCTTCCCTTCTTTCCTCAGCTATTTGTAAAGCCTCCTCAGACAGCCATTTTGCTTTCTTGCATTTCTTTTTCTTTGGGATGGTTTTAGTTGCTACCTCTTGTACAATGTTGCGAACCTCCGTCCATAGTTCTTCAGGCACTCTGTCTATCAGATCTAATTCCATAAATCTATTTGTCACCTCTACTGTATATTCATCAGGGATATGATTTAGGTCATACCTGAGTGGTCTAGTGCTTTTCCCTACTTTCTTCAATTTAAGCCTAAATTTTGCAACGAGAAGCTCATGATCTGAACCACAGTCAGCTCCTGGTCTAGTTTTTACTGACTGTATAGAGCTTCTCCATCTTTGGCTGCAGAGCACGTAGTCAATCTGATTTGGCTACTGGAGGAAGGTCAGATCTGTACATTTGTTTTTCAGAAGCTTGAAGCTGTTGTGACAGTTCTGCTCTTGCATACAATGCACAACTACTCAGATTTATCATATTGTCCTAGCTGGTGGTATTCACAGGATGAAGGTGAAACAATTCACAACCTTTTAATGGTGGAATTGTCACTGTTTCGACTGTCAGTTCAAGCCCTGTGCAATAGTAGGCACAAAGCAAAATGTGGGTGGAACCACAGCATATAAAACATTATCCCCACCATCTTCTTTGTGTGCTCACTTGGGGGGTGGGGGGGGTCAATGAGTACTCTGAACCAGTGTTTGGTGAAGAATGCAGCCTCTGGCTCCTGTTTGAGACATACATTGAAGAAGTATGAGAAAAGAACCTCAGTCAGGACTCTAGAATTATCCCTTTTATCTATTTTATTTATTTGAATGTGAAACATCAGTACTGCATAGGTTGCATCTATATGGCTTCCCATTCATCCAAGAGGGAACCTTCTACGGAATTGAACACTGACCCTAGCAGGGATCAGTCCTAGCTGCATCTTCAAAGCCATCAGGATTAGGAGCTGCAGTTGTCACTAGGGTGAATACGGGAAAAAAAACCCAGATTGTCACTTTATTTAGATAAACAGAGACTTCCATTACTGTACTGGGGGTGCTATCTGGCATAAATTTTGGACTACAAGATTCATACTTATGTAAAATGTTTTAACTCAATTAGGGTGAACAAGGTGTGAAGGAAGTCCTTCAGATATTGAAAGAAGAGTTCCAGTTAGCAATGGCGCTCTCTGGTAAGTATATTCCGCAATCTCAGTATATTGCAGAATATACTGAGATTGTTACATTTTCTTTTAAATGTCATATAGAGATATGTCTTGAAAAACAGGGACAGTCTGTAACATGGAAATAAGAGTCTTGCACATTGAAAGGTTACACAAACTGTCACAAGAGTTAGAAATTTGTGTCTCATGCAGTCATTTTCCTATCATCTGTTCCTTTAAATGCCAGAGATGGAATCCAGGACCTTTAACATGTTAAGTCTATGCCACTGAACTTTGGGCCTTCCATTGTATACACTTTCTTTCCTTTATAACAATCTTCAAGGCACTTACAATGAAGTTATGTTAAAAACCATCTTCAGTAAAATTGAAGAGTATGACAAAGGAAGGCACAAACAAGACATGACACTAAACATGTATGTGCATTTAATGTGCAGTATAAAAAAAACATAAATAGTATTAGCTGTGGCAAGGGGCTACTTATTATCGGGATCACAGCAAGTATGGAAGGGAAATTCATCCCCTTCCTCTACTGCCATGCTCCTCAGCAAAATTCCTCTTCTGGAGATAGTATTTCTTTGTAAGAGGGACAGAACTCACCATTGATGCCACCATTGGAAAAAGCACAATTGCCACCTGAAAGATAAAATGGTATGCCAAATTGACCTCTTTGAGAAGGACATTCCACAGATAAGGTGCCACCTCTGAGAAGTCCCTGTTGCTGGCCATTACTTACCTTGATGCTTGACGTGATGAGTGTGTGCGTGCATGTGTGTGTAGTGCTGACCTGAGTAAGCAGAGGGAGGAAGAAGTAAAAGTTCTTCAAAAAAAATTATTGGATTGCCTGTTTGGGACAGATAATTAGTTTGAACTATGTTGCTTTTATCTTTTATCATTTCCAGGCTGTCAAAATGTGGCAACAATAGATAGAACTTTGGTACGGAGAGCACAGTGGAATACCTCTAAGATCTAGCTGTGGTGTTTGCTGCTTGAGCTGAAATTGTCAAACTCGCTGAATGACTTTAAGCCTCCAGTGCAAGTTTCAACAGGATCAAAATAAAATGTTCATCTTGCTCAATTTTTGATACCCAAGATTCTTTTGCAAATATATTAGATACATCAAGGTATCATTTTAACTCCTAGAGTAAACTATTGAAAAAAGTTGGAAATATCATGACAAGTGAATGCATGTCCTTTTTTCTTCAGCAGTGGTATAATGGAGCTGGGGCTCACATGGGAGGAAGCAGCAGTACTTATCAATTTGCAGGGACGATGCTGTTCAGAATTTTCTGTTTGCTCTGAGCTTAGCTGCATCTCTCATGTTTTGATGTTGTTATGAGCCAGTGAGTTGTATCTGACATATGGCGGACCTATGAATGGAAGCCTTCCAAAATGCCCTATCTGTGAATGCTGTGCTCAGCTCCTGTAAATTCAAAGCCTTGAATTCCTTTATGGATTAGGGAGTCAAGTCATCTCATACTGGGTCTTCTTTTTATTCTGCCTTTGATTTTCCATAGCCTGACTGCCTTCTCCAGGGAGTTTTGCCTTCTCATATTGTACCCAAAGTATGACAGTCTCAGCTTTGCCATTTTTGCTTCTAGGGAAGGTTCTGGCTTGATTTAATCTAGGGCCCACTTGTTTGTCTTTCTCTCAGTCCAGGGTATTTGCAAAGCTCTCCTCCAGCATTATGTTCAACTGCATCAGTTTTCTTCCTGTCAGCTTCCTCACTGCCCAACTTTCACACTCACACATAGTGAGTGGAAATACAACAGTGTGGATAATCTTGGCCTTGGTTTCCAGTGAAGCGTTCTTACACTTGAAACTCTCCCAGTAGCTAGGCTGAAATAAAATTTCTTAGCAATAATATATTCTGTACTGTAATTCAAAGTATTTCAGGGTGGCCTGGTCTTGGGTGGGACATCAAAGCCCATGAGTATTACAAAATCAAAACCCCCAACCTACCACAGCCCTGCTCTTGATAGAGATGAACTCTATTATCTACTTAGAAGGCCCTCAGGCCAATGCAGTGGAATATAAGTTTAATAATGGATAAATTTTAAAAAAACCCAAGCAGTGGCTTGTTTCTATGGATCAACAGTGTTTCTTGCATTCTGGGTCTCATTGTGGAGGTCTAGGTATGGAAAAAGTCATGGTGAGTACTTGCACTTTATAATTTACCACTACACCACTGGTGTTCAGCCATTTTAAATAATATGTGAGTATTAAGGGAAAATGTTACCCAGATAAAAGACTGCATTGCTCCTGTGAGATTTAAAACTCCTTGAGACAGGATTTGAGTGGGTACAAGCAATTTATTCCATACAAAAAGCATTTGCAAAGGCTGGCTCAATGCCTCAGTAGTCTGAGAAACAAAGAGCAATCTTTTACTGTTTACAAGAGATTTTATACATTTCTTTCCCCGATGCTCAGCACTATCCCCGCTTCGCCATTGGCTGGTTACTAAGAAGTCACAATCTTCCCCACCGCCTATATCATACTACTCCTTAATATGTTCCCCCCTCCCGCTCATACATCCCATGTTCATGCTAATGAGCCTATTATCTATGAGAGTTGTGTCATTTACTATTCATAAACTTATTACACAGGCGCAGTACCTTCTAAGAGGTCAACAGGCCGAAGTGGCCTTGAAAATTCTTACTTGACGCCAAAATGTTTCTTAAATCTTGTGGGGAGGATGAGACAATGAGAACAGGCCTTTATTCATTCTAAAAGATACAGATTCTACACTTAAGAAAGAACAATCCTTCACTCATATTTTAAAAGATACAGACTTTACAGTTCCCACACTCCTCGAGTAAGGTATTCTAAGTCACTGATTACCAAAGTTGCAAGTTTGCTGACAGAATGAGAAACTGGACTGCAATGAGACAAATGTGAAGCTGATGCCTCACAGGGAGTAGATGAGCTGTTAAAATAGTGGTAAGCAGGTATTTGAGTGGTACATCATATTAAAAAAAAGTCTGAAGTAAAAACATCCCCCCCACACACCCCATTTTGTTATTGCCTTACATATTTAATCATACCTGAATGCTGGTTTCCAGGCTTAGCAACCTGGCCTCATCTCCCCTTGGTACTACAGGAAAGCAAAGATAGTGGTTGGGAAGCTGAGGCTGTGGGAAAATAGAAGTGAGCTGCCCCGAGGTTTCGGCGAATGGGGCGGCATAGAAGTTCCCTAAATAAGTGTGTATAATGCCTCTTTTAAAAAATCCTTAACCGTCTCTGTTCTGGCCTACTTGCTGAGGCGACCTGCAAACATATCTTTTTAGAGCAGGCCCTGAAATTCAAACAACAGTAATGATGCAACAAAAATTGAGAAAGAATAATAAACCCGGAATACCCGTTTGTTCCAGTCTGCGTCAGTGATTTTGGTGCTGCAAACTCAATGGGAGCAACTTGTGCCATTCTGTTTAATTTCAGTTAAGGCCCACCATTTTATCGTATGAGGACATAGTAACATGCTCTGAAAGTGGAATTAAAAACCTCAGCAATGACAATAACAGACAATATGTAAAATGCCAGCACAGAAATAGGAAGGAGGAATAGAATGGAGAGCACCTTTAACTCAACATTTTGGCAATTCTGAGGCCTGGTTAAATGATTGCTTTCTTAAGAAGAAACAGAATGTCATAGTCACCACTGCCACTGTTTTGCATAATAACAAGGGGGGGGGGATATTCCCAACTTTCTAGGACTTTCTTTATATCTTTAATGTTATGTCATGGAAGCTTTAGGAAATGAAATCTTACATAAAATATGCAGTATTTAGTCTTCAGAAATCATTGGCATTCCTCTAAGAAGCTGCAAATGGCATACATTGGCCTTCCAAGCAGTATTGTGGTGGTATTAATATTTATATGGAGGTAGTGTTCAGCATTTTAAAACAATAAAATCAACAAACCACAAAAACTATTAAACCAAGCTGTTGCTACAGGATGGATGGCTTTTTGCTCCTATTTGCCAAGGGCCTAGCCAATTTCCCTTCCTGCCTGCCTGCCTGCCTGCCTGCCTTTGAATTATACCTCAGTTCAAATCCATGCATTCAAATCCATTCATTATTTACCCTATGTGTCTGTTTCCTTCCTTTTCAATTTTTCAATTTATTTTTTAAAAACAAAACTCATAGTTTACACAAATGTAAAACAATAGAGATAATAAATTAACCTTAACCCTAAACAATTCAATAACAAGAGTGCTACCTTCCACCAGGACCAACAGATGCATTTTACTTAGTGTAAAATCATTTATTCATTCAGGTTGCCCCACTTCCACTCCACTTCCACTCCTCTTCCAAAACTGCACTGAATCTTGTGTTGGCACACATCCCTTTCCCTTTATTCAATGTTCAATAAACAGCCTCCAAATATCTCCAAAATTATTTTTACTCGTCAAGCCTTTTTTCAACTTAATATTGCAAGTTAACTTATCATTAATAGCTATATTCCAGACTTCTCTTAACCAATCCTTTACCTGATAGTCACCTTTTACTTTCCAGTTTCTTACTTTTATTAATCTTATTGCTGTTCCTAAATTTATCATCAATTATTTAATATTTTGTCCCATTTGTTCTCTAAATAAAGACAATAATGCTAGTCCAGGGTCTACTTCAATATTTAGATTCAATATGTTACTAATCTCTTTGAAAACCACTTTCCAAAACTTATTTATATATTTACACTCCCACCAAATATGGAAATATGTATCCACTTCTCCCCAACATATATTGCAATATTTATTATTCATATAATTCAATTTTACTGGAGTAAGGTACCATTTCCAAACTAATTTGTACAAGTTCTCTGTAATTCTTATTGACATTTTAAATTCACATATGCCTTCAGTCTTCATTACTAATATTTCTTCTTAAGTCTATTTCCCAAGAATCTTTAAGGCAGGGGTCTCAAACTCGCGGCCCGCGGGCCAGTTGCCGGGACGGGCGGGGCACAGGGGAGGGGCCCTGCGGCCTTCAAAGCGCCAGTGGCGCCCGGGCCGGCCTCCGGATGAGCGGCCCACCCCCACCGCGGTGGGGGAATGCTTGATGCGGCCCAGCATCACCCAGACTCTACTTCCTGCGGCCCCCAGGGAAGTTGAGTTTGAGACCCCTGCTTTAAGGGATCTTACTGATCCTCTCCTTCTATTGGTTGTTATACATTTTACTTGTCATTCCTCTCATCCACATATTATCTTGTTTGACTTTCTGTAAAATCATATCCTCCAATTTAGTATATTTTCTACAGTTATCATTTTTTCAACCAATCTTTAGTCCATTGATCTAACTGAAGTATATTATTCCAAATTAATTTTCTCTCTCTTAATGTTGCCTGTATCTTTTCTTCATTTCATCTATCCAATCTTTCAAATTAAAAATGCATTTATTGTCTCCTTACTTCCTCCCTCCTTCCCACCCTCACTCAGTTTTACCTACATGCAGTTTTCATTTTAATCTTTTGCCTCTCTCATTTACTTTGTCACACACATATTTTTGTATGCTTTCTTCTTACTAATCCTTTTACAATCATATTAGCTGGTATTCCTCAAAGTCAATTTCCTAGTGCTGGGATCCTCTGAAGTGTCCTACAACCTGAGTGCAAGTGGAGCATCCTGTTCCTTTCTTTGACTCTCTGCAAGCACCTTCTTGACTTCCTTCTTGCTTAGTCTGCTGCTGCTGTGCGCATCTAGCATCTCTCTTTCCTACTCTGCCATCCTTGGATATGTTCCAAAATTTAACTCTCAGTTGTATCTGAGATTTCATGACATGTCTACAGTTCTGCCAATCTCCATTCTTCATCACTATCATCTCTCAAACTGTGCCCAGCAGTGGCAAATTCTGCAAACGGTTGTTCTCCTATATCCAGGAAGTTGCCAATTATCCATCATCATTCTTTGAATTACATTGCGTATTGGCCCATCCTAGCTGTAAATAGAAGGTCCAACAGAACTTCCCTGTTACAGGTGAGTACTTGTTTGCCAACTGTTCCTTTCATCCTTTCTATTTCTCTGCCCACATGGCCATAGTGACATCACACAGATCCTGTCTGTCTGTTAGGAACTGCTAACTGT